AAATCGGCACAGGGCTGCCAATATCTCGGTCAGTTGTTGCACCTCCCGAACGGTCGTGGGCGGCTGCATGTCAAGAATTACTTTGACCTTGGCGGGGTTGGGCTCGATTCCTCTTTTAGTCATCATTTAGCCAAGGAATTTTCCCGTTTGCACAGCAAACATGCACTTGTTGGGATTCAAACGTAGCTGGTATTTCCACATGATTTGAAAGCACTGTCGGAGATCCCGAGTATGATCTGCTCGGTCCCGACTCTTCACCAGCATATCGTCGATATAAGCTTCCATCGTTCGGCCTAGTAGGTCCTCAAAAAGCATATTGATCATCCGCTGATAAGTCGCTCCTGCATTTCGGATGCCGAACGACATAACCCGGTAACAATACAACCCGTAAGGTGTGACAAAGGCTGACTTACTCTCATCTTCATGGTTCATCATGATTTGATGATAACCTTTGAAAGCGTCCATGAAGCTCATCAGCTCAACCCGGCCGTTTCGTCAACCATCTGATGGATGCTCGGCAACGGGTAAGGATCTAGCGGGCACTCTTTGTTCAAGTCGGTGAAGTCAATGCACATCCTCCAGGACGGATGCTTTGGAACAAGTACAATGTTGGCTACCCACTCGGGATAAGTGACCGGGCGGATGTGCCGGATTGCAGCCAATTTCTTCACTTCTTCTCGAACGAACTCTCGGCGATTGGAGGACAAATGACGAGTCTTCTAAACGACCGGTTTAACCGTGGGATCTATAGCTAACTTGTGGCAGATTACAGTTCGGTCAATCCCGGGCATATCTTCAGGCCCCCATGCAAATATATCAGCGAATTCCCGGAGGATCGCCAACACTTCCAGTCGCAATTCAGGGGTGAGGGCCCGACCAATCTTTATCTTTCTCTCGGGTCGCTCCTCAAACAAAGGAACCTGCTCTATTTCCTCAGAGGGCTCGGGTTGTTCCTTTCGATCTTTGACGGCTTCCTTGACGATAGTGTTCACTCGGGAAGAATCGGCATCATGCCGATTGACGGCCCGGGAATAACATTTTCTCGCCGATTGCACGTCACCTCGTAAAACTCTGACACCAGCTGGGGTTGGAAATTTCATGCATAAATGAGGCATCGAAATGATTCCGCCGACCCTCATAATAGCCGATCGACCCAAAATAACGTTGTGGACGCAATGGAGGTTGACCACAACAAATTCTAACTCTGTCTTTACTGAATTTGGTGGGGTTCCAAGCTCGACCGGGAGCACGATTTTTCCCTTGGGGCGTATGGTAGCCCCGGTAAATCCCGACAAGGGCACGCCGACCGGAATCAGCTCTCGCTTGTCCAACTTTAGCTTCTCAAACACGTCTAAATAAAGGACGTTCACACTGCTCCCGGTGTCCACCATTACTCTTTGGACATTGGTTCCCATGATGTCAATCATGACAACAAGAGCTTCCATCCCATTGTCCCCGCTTTCCGGCTGGTCTTCAAGAGAGAAGGTAATTGGTTCCATCTTTTGCCTCTTACCGGTTTCTCGGGAGTCGACGATCGCGACCGGGCAACTTTCCCGAGCCTGGGAAGCATCTTCAAAACCTCCAAATATAACATGGATGGTCGGTTTGGATGTTGGTCGGCCACTTGATGGTGGATCGGGATCACGCCGGTCTTGATCTCTCCGGTTAGAGCGATGATGAGACCGCCTATGATCTTTTCTTTCGCCCACTCTTTTGTTCTCTTCTCTCTTGCCGACACATTTGTCCAACTTTCCCAACTGAAGCAAATCTTCTAACTGCTGTTTTAAGTGCGTGCATTCCTCTGTATCATGCCCAGCACATCGATGATAAGCACAATGTTTTGACTTATTCGGCCCATCCGGTCCCGGATGAGGTTGCAGGACTAGGCATATTGCATGGCCTCCGCCGCGGATCGGTTTAATGCCGTGAACTCTCCCGGTCGGATTCGGGGTCAGGAATGATCTTCGACCGACCGATGTTCCGCCCGGCCGGAAGGCTTTCGGGACGAAGCGCCGACCTCTTGTGACCTCTTGACGGCATTTGCCTCACCGGCGTTGGCATAGTCCGTCACTCTACGGAGGGCTTCTTCATAAGTGGTAGGCGGATGGAGTATAAAATCCTGGTACAGATAACCGGCCCGGAGGGATATGTGCAACATGTGAATGGCCGTCAGATCGTCCATCGGCTCGACCTCCCCGGCTGCCGCCTTCCACTTGACTAAGAATTCGGTCAAGCTTTTACCCCTCCAACTATTTAGCCTTCTCGAGGTACATGTAAGGCTTCGATAACCTTGGAGGTTACAAACTTCCGGTTGAACTTCATCGCCAAACTGGCGAAATCAGAGATAGAACCCAGTTGCAGTGTCCTGAACCATTCCGCCGCTCGACTAGTGAGCGTGGAATAGAAAGCCCTACACATCACGGCGTCATATACGCCCATCATCAGCATGTTGCCATAATATGTATTGACATGAACTTCTGGGTCTGTCCGCCCATCATATTCCTTATTCCCGGGGATGCCCAAATCGAGCGGGTAAGGCTGAGCCATGATCTCCACCGTGAAGGGTGTCCTCAATAACGAGGTTGTATGATCGGTAGGAGGCCTTACAGCGTGCTCGTTCTGCCAGCGAGTGAATTCTGCCCGGAGTTCGTTCAGCATTCCTCGGGTTTCGTCTTGTACGACCATTCGGGCTGGTTCCCGAGCCCGGCGTCGTCGATGTGATTTAGACCCACTATGCCCGGACGACCCCTCCTGGCTTGCCGCTCGCATGGGTGAATCAACCGAGCGTCTGTCTGGATCCTGCGGTCCCAATCTTTGCCGCATTGCTGGTCGAAGCTGATCGAATGCCATCGCCCGGTTGGCTTCTATCTCAGGGTCTTCGACCACCTGAGCATGTGTTTCCGGCTGAACATGTATTTCCGGCTGAACATGTGGAGCCTGCCGTGGTTCCTCCATGACCTCAGCCCCCTGCAACCCCAACCTCGAATGAGCCGAGCGCCTAGCCCGGGGAGCGGGATGAAGCTCCGCCGGTCAGCATGGTCGGGTAATTCGGGGGAGCGGAAGCTGGAGCCGTGTACGCAAGCATAAATTGCGGATAACCGGTTGGCGGTGGATAATACATCGGTGTCCCAGGCCAACACCCATATTGAGGAGGTGGAACTAGGTATCGATATTGCCCGGGAAATTGATATTGTGGCCCAGGCGGTGGATATGTCGGCTGAATATAATTGACCGGGTTCGGGCGCACCAATCGTGGTGGTGATAGGTTGAGGTTCAGGTCAACTGTTTGACATTGATACTGTGTACGTTGGTGGTCGGATGAGCTTGCTGCGTCCGCTTGCTCATCCTCGAGTGCTTGGTACATGAACGGATACATGGTGATAAGAAAGATCTGGTACTCGTCTAAGATAGCTTTTGTACCCGAATCCCCACGAACGGCGCCAAAATGATAGTACTAATTCCACGTGCTAGCGGTCCAAGTACTTAAATGAGATCAAGTAATAAAAAATAAAGATATTTTATTGATCAAGAAGGACCTAATACAATCTAAATGATTATCCCGAGGGCCGACTGACTGCGGTCAGGCAGCTCTGTAGATAATCTATCGATCGTCCAAAAGTCCCTCTCACTGTAGCCGCCATGGGTATTTATAGCCGCTTGACCAGAGACACACCTCCGGCCGGCCGACATGTAGCCCACGTAGCATCCACGCGTCTTCACCCAGCTAGCCCTCTCTGTTAACGCGTTGCATTGCCACACGTCTTTCCTCGAGATCCTTGACTTCTCGCCAGATAAGGCTCATCGAACGGGTGTTAAAAACCGGTCGGGAAGTCCACCGATCGGGTCCGACCAGTTCTCCTCTCAAGAATATCCGACCTGCAAAACCTGCACAAAGAACAAGAGAAGCCAAGTCGTGTCGTTCGAGATATACCCTACCAGAAACTAAATAACATGTCTCATATATATATATATATATATATATATATATATATATATATATATATATATATATAGTGTATATTGTCAAATGAAACTGTAGTTGTATCAAAATGATACTTTAGTTGTGTTGTAATGAAACTACAATGTATATAAAATGAAACTGAATAACAATTTCACATATTTGAGTGTATATTGTACAATGAAACTGTAGTTGAATTAGAATTATAATTTACTGGTGTTGTAATAAGAGTACTACAGTGTGTATAAAATGAAATTCAATAACAGGTTTCACTGTAATAACACTATTGTATGTACAATGTCAAATGAAACTGTAGTTGAAACAAAGTGAAATTTTAGTTGTGCGGAAATAACACTACAATGTATATAAAATGAAACTCAATATATTATATAAACAGAACTAATTACACGGAATGAGCAATTTATATCCTGCACCAGGGCGCGCATTGCATTGTGCGCCCTGATGCAAAACGACGTTGTTTCAGATTTTTTTTTTAAAAACATTTCGCTACCCTGTGTTCACGGTTAATTTTCTGTAAAAAAAAAAAATGTACATAAGTTTATACTAGAATACACATAATTGTATACATGAATGTACATAATTGTATAACAAAATGCACATACTTTTTTTTTAAAAAGATAATACATATAATCTAACATAACACATAATATACATAAACTTTTAACATAATAAACATCAACTCTTAACATAATACACATAAATTTCCTGTTTCGGATGTACATAATTGTATAAAAAAGATGTACATGATTGTATAAAAAATGTACATAATTGTATAAACAAATACACATAATTGTATAAATAAATACACATAATCGCGTCCATTCTTACATAACTTACCAAAACGACGTCGTTTTGGGAGGCGCCGGGCGCACAGTGCTACGCGCGCCGTGGTGCAAGGTATAACAATTGTACGAAATGGGTACCGTTTCTTTTCAGTAAAAGAAACGACACTGTTTTGGACCATGATTCACACAATTGTGTGGACCATGATCCACAGTAAAATTTGCCACCGGATCGAAACGCACCAATATATGAATTCGTAGATTGATTAAACATTACTTTATAATTTACAAAAGAATTTGTTGTTTCAAATATTGATATTCACATTTCTAATATGTTAACAAGTACGGAGTAATTATTTACAGATTGAACCGACATAAACAACTATAAAATCCTAGGACTTTTAGCTGACGAAACTTCTTCGCTGCATATCGGGCAAACCTATATATAAACATGCAAGACAAAATAAACATCAAATGAAGTTTATTGATAAATTACATTTCTTTTTAAATAATATATTATATATCATAGATATAAGTTTTGATTTTATAACTTTTATCTCCATTAGATATATAAAATAAAATACAAAAAGACATTAATAATTATAATTATATTAAAAAAGTTTACAATGACATATGCTTTATAAAATTATACCTTAATCACTTGTCATAACTCATGCCAGAAGTACAAAAGGAGAATATAATAAAATTTGTAAAGTATAAAGTATAAACAGTAATGTAAAACTTTCCAACATTTTCATTCTCTTTATATATATATTTTTTAAAATCATATATCATTTAAACACAGTGCAATTCCAAATTAGGGAACAAAAATCTAACTGTATGATTAGAAATTACCAACCTTCTTGATTTGGAGCCAGGTTGTAATGCATTCACAATGGTATGGATGATCACAAGGTAGGGCAACGAGCTTCTCTCCTTCGTCATATTCCAACTGACATACTACGCACCTGCCATTATATTCATGCACCAACATACGTACAATTAAGGTTTCCATGCATAACTATATTATATATTCCATCAATCCAATTGCGTATATATAGGCTTGCGCTCCTATGAGAACCACCCTTAAGTACTACATGAATACACCACAATTACTCTCAGTCATACCGGCCTAGATGACGGTGAAGACTCTGGAGTAGTTATGGTGCGTTCGTGTAGTAGATTTTGTGCACTCATGCAATTCTCACGTATTCACCTCTAAGGCTTGATTCTCATTTGAACGCAACTATATATATATATATATATATATATATATATATATATATATATAATTAAATAAGACCACCTCTTCCCGTGAGTCCCTTCATAAATGTACAAAAGCTACTACCCGGATGCACATGGACTATATTGTTTGCAAGTCGCGCAGCATGAATGTACACAATCTACCCTGTGTGTATTCGTGTAGTAGCTTTTGTGCATTTACAAAGGATCTCACGGAACTCACGAGAACAGGTGGATGCTATAGAGTTTATAGAACTGAATGAATTAACATTGCAAACACATGCAATTAACTATAAATAGTGTACAGAGGAGGAAAGATAGAAGGAAATTACAACCACTAATCTAACATATAGCTATTCAACATGAGCTAAATTATAACAAATATATAGATAATTAATGTGAGCCTCATATATTCTTAGTAGATGATGTTAGCTAGGTATAGTACTGACCGATCAACGAGGGTTTTGGAGGTGAGAGATTGGAAGGTAGAAGGATGCAAAGACTTGGTAATTTCTGCTTCTGATAATCCTCTGCTCTCCACTCCAACCAACTCCCCCAGAGCTATCAACTCCTGTCAGTAGTTTATTATCTCATTTTAGCAAACAATAATAATGTATACAAGCTAGCTACCAAGGTGGGTATAGTATATGGTTTACCTCGTACGATAGCAAATCCGGATCAATGTCATCCTCCTCTATCTCCTAATTAAACAATTCCGATCCGGCCACCATATATATTTTTAAAAACATTATTATTAGTCGTCAACATAATTTCTTACTTTAATTGTATATCTATCTAAATACAGATCAAAAGTTACTATACGTTGATACAAATTACATACGGAGTATATGTTATTGTTAACTACATCAATCCGTATAATATAGACATATATTAATTAAAAATTCATTATTTTATTATTATAGAATAACATTTTTATTTAAATATAATAACATTATTATACGTATGTAATGATATCATATTATATAATTGACAAAGAAAAAAAATATAATTTTATCAAATAAAAATATATTTGTAATAATATCATTATACACGACATCGATCGGTAGAATTTTTTGAAAATATATACGGATCCTAGAAGATTATGATACCTCATAATTACTGTAGTCGTCATAATCAGGATATTCTACTTCTTCTCCTGAGAAGAAACAAGGAATGGTAGAAATTAAAATAAATGAACAAGCTAAAAGACCCACAACATAGTAAACAAAGAAAATTGAGAAAATGTAAGATATTATGTGTTTTGCAAAGTTATACCTACCTTATATTTACAACCTTGAAATGTTTTTGAAAATTTAATTATTAAATTTCTTTTAAAAAAAAAAAAAATTAAGTGGATGGCGAAATGTCTTGATTAGAGTTTGGGTTTTGAATGAAGTGTGTGCGTGTTTATTTATGTTGTTTGATTCATTGTCTGATGGAATTAATTACCTTCAATCCCAGATCGTAGGGATGAAGCTTGAAAACTATCATCTGAATATTCACTCATATCATCATCATCCTCGCTTCCATCACTTTCGAACATTGCAAGCATCACCGATGTCCTTTCCTGCACGTACGATTACCATTATATTATATTGCCACACCAATAATTACCTAACTAATCCACACCACATATCTTGTTAGAATTTAGTTTGTTAAAATTTTTAATATACTCTCAGATTTAGTTGTTATCATAATAAATTTATAAATAATATAAATTTCTTAGTTTTATATTAATTTTCCTCGTATCATTAGTCACCTGTCAGACCTTATTTAAACTTTAATATATAAGTGCTGTAATGTAAAAAAAAAAAAAAAAAAAGGGATAAAAATCGGAAAACCTGCCTCGTCAAGATGATCGTGGAGTTCCCTTGATGTTGTTTTCCTCTGGTCGTCGTCAGCCATGGATTAGTTGGAGTTGATCAAAAGAAGGTTAGCTAGCTAGGATCAATCGGAATGAAGATCGGTGAAGTTATGTTTGCCTAAGGATCGGATATTCAATTCCCTTAGCTTGATATGAAGGATCGGATCGGAGATAAAGATGGGATTTCAGGAATACAAGAGGAGAAAAGGCGGCGGCGGCGGGGGCTTGATATATATGATATTGGAGAAACTTGTGGATAAGGAGAAAGCCTAGCTAAGACAACTTTAATTTGACGGAAAGCAAAGGTAGAAATGCTAATTAAAGACGTCTTTGATCGGCTGTGCAGATTCCATTAACGTTAGTTGATTGGTTCTTCCTCAGCTCATTTAACATAACTTCCGTGCGTGTGTGAGACAGTCAAAGAATATTCCTTCTTCACCACACTTTTTTTTTTTTTTTTTTTTTTTTGGGTTTCTTGCCCCATTGGATAACAACTTCTTGCCAATCCTTTTCCCTATAATCCACATTTTCAATATAATCCATTATATTGTTTTTAGGCAAAGTACTAATTTGTACTCATTCTTGTATAACTCAAGTTTATTTAAAAAATTTATGTTTGAAATAAAAAATTAAAGCACATGCATCATTCTATCAACCCGACAGAGCACAAGGAGCCCCTCATTTTCCACACTGCTGCTAGTGAGAGTCAATTCCTGATCATTTTTTCTAATTTTCACCTCTATTACCATTTAAATTGCTCATGCAGGCAAAGCACATGACTCATGAATTATCTGTTCGGGGTTTAATTTGGGAATTAGGTTGTTTATTTATTTATTTATTTATTTATTTATTTTTGGAGTCGCGCCGTCTTGTCTTGAATAAGAAAAAACGGTTGATCATGAAATTTGTTTAAATGACGTACGGTGCGGTCAAATTGAGATTTCTGGTCATTGGCACGCCTTCTTGTAATGTATCCATGAAAAAAAAAAAAAAAAAAAAAAAAAAAAAAAAAGTTTCTTATTGATCAATATTCATTAGACAAGTTACCTAATAGTGAAGGAAAACCCAGCTTGATCTAAACTAGAGTTAATTTTACCAGAGATTTTTTATCGATCTTTAGTGGCAATTTCAAATTTAGTCACAAAGTATCTTTTTATCGTTTAATATCCTAGACTATTATTTTTTGGACACTTTTAGTTATTCTCATGAATTTTCATATTTTTAGTAAAAAATTTTTGTCTTTTCATATTTTTCTTTTATTATTTTTCAGTTTCAACCGGTTTAATTGGTTTAGAACTTTAGGTAACCTCTGATTTTTAGTAACCATATTTTTCAACCGATTTTTAGTGAAGTCTTAAACCAATTAAACCGGCTGAAACTGGAAAAATTATAAAATAAAAATATGAAGAAACAAAAATGCCTTTACTAAAAATATGAAACGTAATGAGAAGGACTAAAAGTGTCCAAAAAATAATAGTTTGGGATGTTAAATGACAAAAACGATAGTATGTGACTAAATTTCAAATTGTCACCAAAGGCAAGAGACCTCTGGTGAAATTAACTCATCTAAATTATGTACTTATAAAATTGTAATTATCATATTATGTATACTAGTAATTCACCCGCGCGATGCACGGGGAAAAATTATGTAATTATAAATATAAATTAAAAAATAGAAAAATATAAAAATATTTTAAATTGTTTAATATAATAATATTTTTGAGCTTTCATTGGTAAATTATTTATTATTTTGATAGAATACAAAATTACAGTTAAAATTTTGTATGGTTAATATAATCTCTAATTATGTACATATTCAAATAAACTTATAGAAAGAATTTACATAACTACATTGATTTATTCTTAATCGTATTTCATCTATATTATAATTTTCACAATACGAATAATAACTAAGATAATTACATTTAGAAAGTAAATTTCAAATTTTGTATGAGTAAATTTAAACTCTAATTGAACACTTTTTTTTTATATGATTATATAATATATTCTTTATGCACGTGTCATTCTATAAACCCAAATGTCATTCTATAAGTCCAAGACCACTTTTTGTGGAGATAATTCAAATGTATTTTTTTTTTCTTTTAAAAGTCCTAAGTTTAGAAATCTAGAAAAACATTAAAGACCCATACCATATATATATATATATATATATATATATATATATATATATATATATATATATATATATAAATTTTTATTTATGGCTCAAATGATTTTTTTTTATATTATAAGTCCAATAATTGACCCACGGCCCGCAACATTTGCTTTCTTCATCCCTTCTCGCTTCTGCCATTTCTTTGAAGCATTTGAGGGGGAGAAAAATTATATGTAGAGGCTTGCATTAATTGCACTGTTTCAGATATCGAATAGGCTTAATCGAAAATTTAATTAATATTGTAATCCCAAGAAGCATCATAAATAACAAAAGCATATCAAATAGACTTTCATTGTAAAGCCAGAGATTTAATTAATATTGTATCGTTTCATATTTTTTATTAATCGGGAATCGGAATCCTTAATCCTATCATAACATTTAATAACTGCATTAATTCAATAAATGTAATTCTTTGTTATGGGCGAGAAAAAAAATAGCTATTTTATTTTTCAAATGTTGTGTTTTTTTTTTATAGTAAAAGATGCATGTTGTGGCTATTTTATATTTATAGCTAGTAATAATAATAATGTTGGTAATTAATTGTAACATTAATTACTTCCCAAACCATATAGCTTTATTATAGTTATTAAGATTAAGATTAAATTAACAAACATATACATAATCTATTAACTACATACATATATACATACATATTGATGAGGCCATAGGACCCCATGATCCATATTATTGGATAATGGTGAATAATGAGGCATCGAGCAAAATAAAATAAGATGTGCTTCCATGGGGTTCAAACCCACAACATCAAGCATAATAACATACATGAGATCCATATCACCAAACCACTCAAGATCTTGTGTATTAAAAGACAGGAAGCTCCACTTATGCAAGGGAGTGCACTGGAAGCAAAGTAGTGGGGCGACACTACGTGTGTGGCCAAAGAAACGTCTCAAGATAGCTCAATGTTAACTTAATTCACCTAATGGTCTATCAAGATGAGTGTGTTTTGAAACCGGAGATGGGGAAATCCTTCATATCATCATGAAATAATTGTGTTAGGAATGTGCTTTATTAATGCAACGCAAGGAATATCCAAAAGGAATAAAAACCCCTATCAAAGGATAGAATGAAATAGCAAAGGGAACACACTCTCTACACACTTAGCCAAGCATGCAACCAAATTTGGATTTACCTCTCATTTTGCAAAGGCCTTCAAGCCGAGCCCCCTAGTAGGAACGATGTGCACATCCCAACCGACATCCAACCTTATATCGCCAAGGTCATATACATTAAAATAAATGAAGGTTTGGTATGGACCGCTCCCTGCCAATAAGCAAAAGGTGGTCGGAAATAGCAACAAAGGTTTTTTGGATACCAAAAGTGGTCGGAACAAGGCTTTCGACTTGATTTAAGATCACTTTCAGGTGAATACCCTTATATGTTTTATGCATTTTTTTTTTGATAGTTTATATGTTGGTTTCACTTTATATTATCTTTTTCAAATTCTTAAACAATTCTTGAGTGTTATAAATTGTGGTGTAGTGTGTTGGTTCAAGGATCATCTTTGTGGCATAAGTGAGGTGAAAAACAAAAAGAAGAAAAAAAAAAATTTATTCATTCATTTATTTTATTTGTAATAATTTCATAGATTCTACTCCGCTGAATCAGCCACCTATATATACATGTACCATAAATCTACTATACTAATAAGAGCCCAAGAGAGTTAGGCCTATAATGGATAGAAAATGTGTCCGTCACAAATTTTAATCAAATGAATGGCTCAGATTAATCAAAAAATTGATCAGATTTAAATTTTACAATGAAATTTACTTAAATACCCACACACCGTTACTTTATCCGTTAATAATTTCAGAGTCTCCGTTAGTTCACCGTTAGGTGTAGCCAAACCACGCCAGTCATCCTTCAGAAAGAATTTACCCGTCGAGATCCTCGCCAAACCTCGCCAATCATCCGAATTTAGTCGTCGAGTTTCGCGCCAAATTGCAAGGAAATCGCTTGTTTTTTACCCAGAGTCCTCCTTTTGTTCATCGTTTTCATCATTCGGAAGGAATTTAGTCGCCACAGATTTCGAGCACTCACCTGTGATGGAATCCGATTTTCCCCCATATTTACAATTAGCATTTTTGAATCTCCAGGCTTTGGTTAACTAAATTGCTTTATTTGGCCATGATTGTACTTGAAGTTTTCTAATCAGCAGCTAAAGTATATGAATTTAAGGTTTGTATCATGTAATGTTCTAATTTCTTTTGTAGTATCTATTAATGAAATAATAGACGCGAAAAAAAAAAGAGTAAATAAATAAATAAAGAGATCATATTCATCTGAAATTTTGTTTGTCTTTTTGCATCTAAATCAAAGATCACCTGAACTTTGGTATTGCTTTTCCTGAAATAGTAGGATGTTCAATCATTAACTGTAGAAATATGAAGCAAGTATGTCACTACTTTTGTTTATTGTGTAGGTCACTAAATTGTGTTTGCATTAGAGTATTGCATGATGTTATCAAAATGGTCTTTGCAAAATTGTAGTCAGAGTCATTTTCAAGACCAATTGGCATTTTTTATTTAATAGCTTTTCTTTTAGTATTAGATGTACACAATATTTTCACATGATCATGGTTATTAAAATTGTTCCTTTCTGTCAAATATTTGCAGAGATATTTATTGTGGAGGGGGGTTCAGCTGGTGGAAGTGCTAAACAAGGCCGTGATCGGTGGTTTTAGGTGACAGTTCTATCTGTTTATCACCCAAGGATTGGTGCCCAAAGTGACAAATGTGGCTAGAATGGTTCTCATGTATTCTTTTTTTCTTTTCAAAATATCCAAACTCCAGCAACTGGCATATCAACTCATTGCTTTGTGCTAGCCATTCTTCCTTTACGGGGTAAAATTTTTGCACTAATAAACATATATTTGCGTTGGCTTCTGAATATTTTCGTTAGTTCCTCTTACTGCTGTGTTCCTTATGTTTTCTCTTGTTCAATTCTCTCTGATTTTGCTAAAGGTTTCGCCAAATCTTGCCAAATTGCAAGGATATTGCAGGTTCATAATTTGTCGGGAACCTTGGAACCTTCGAGTTGGCGGTTCATGGGTGGCTAATGTTGGCAAATTGCAGGAGCTGCGACGTTCTAGACCTATAAGACCTCGCCCGACGGTATGATTCCTGGACATCTTTTTTTTTTTTTCTCAGCATTGATTGTTCTTTTTGCCTCTCAGTTTTACTTTCTTAGGTAATCAAATGGAGATCTATCTTTTGTTACTTCTAGATAGTTCTCTTTTTACTAAGTAGAGACATACCCATGAAGGTCACCTGGTGATGAGTCCTAAGGAGCACTTTGCAGTTTGCATGTATTTCTTGAACATGAGCAATTTTCATTAAGGACTTCTTCCATTAGTGCATTTATCTGTTGAAAGCAAAAGCACAACTCTCAATCCATAGAACAAGCATGAACTGAAATTTACTTGAGAAGCATGAAATCAATAGTATGATACACATGATTGATTTATATTTTATACCTCCTCATTTGATAGTTGATAATCACGTAGAAAGCAAGACACTATCTCTTACCTCTGAGTAGTAATTTCAAGTTCCTGTTTCAACCTCTCTGTAGTACTAATAATATCACCAGTGGTGGCATTGCAAGTGTTTAAAGCCAAAGCAATTCTACACCAACAAATATATAAAATAAATAAATAAATAAATAAGATGATACAATGTTGCAAAAAAATTATGAATGTTGCATCTCTGCCACCAAATAACAAAAACAAAGAAGAAGAAAAAAGACACTTTATGATCCTCACACTATGGAGCAGAAGCACATTTACAAGAACAATGTAAATGAAATTCATGAAACAAAATCAGCAGTCAACTATGCAAATGATTTATGAATTTACAAATAAATAGTTTTTGCTGACATTAGCTTCTGCTTAAATGTTTAGCTCCTTGATAGATTCCCATTTAATTGTCTTTGAGCTTTTTTTTTTTTGTTTTTTGTTTAGGAATATACATATTGTGTTCATCGTTAAGAATAAACATACATGAAAATAAAGAACCCTAAACACAATCAAAAAGTATGTTATACGATATACTAATCTAAAATACTATATAAACTAAACTGATAATATTTAATCTAACAATAAAACAATTTATATATGATAATCTGTCTCAAAAGACCTTTAGTTTTATCTTTAGATTATATTTTTTTATAAATGTCTATGTAGGGTGAAAGAACATCGTGACACACTTGACGCATTGAAAAGATGCCGAGACTACAACAATGTTGCAATCAAACTTGCAAATCTAAAAAAAAAAAAGAAGAAATTAAAAAATAGCGATCGTTCCACCATTCATTAATCCTGTAAGTAAAATACTTATTGAGCATTCTTTAAATATATTTAAACTAATATAAATTAACAATCACTTTCATTTTATAGAGTCAACCTGCTTAGATTAAGGGCAAAATCAGCATTAACCTTGACAACAACAACAATTGGTATATAGGATGTAGCCATTGTATAAAAAAGGTTTATGTACAAAGTAACCAACAATTTAACTGTATGCATTGTGGTGAAAAGAGAGTGGTGGGTACTCCAAGGTTAGTGTCAATTCAACAAACCAATTTAACAATACACACACACACACACACACACACACACACACACAAGTTTAAGTACTACACTCATTCATACCAATCCCAAAAATATGAACTACAAAATGCACAGATGCAAAATGAATGTGAAAATTGTTGATGAAACTGGGCACATTGCGGCATTAGTATTCGGACTACCTACAGAGTTATTGTTGTTACATTCAAGTAAACAAGTTATGGAACTAAAACAAGATGTACTATTCATGAACCATCTACAAATATATTAATATTTTGTTTGATTCTGTCACATGAGAATATATGACACAAATCTCACAACGAATGAAACATGTAGGGGAAAAAACTACCACTGTCAAATATCAACAAGCGCCTACAAGATCAAGAGTTAGTTATACAACTAAGATCCCAGGCATATACACAACAAGGCAGATCAACATCTTCCTACTATAATCTCATTGCATGATGCTGCCCTTTATGCTATAACAACTAACACAATTGAACATGGCGCACTATCAATACAAAAGAAGAGGATATGTACTGAAGATGAAGAGAATGACAATGCTACCCTCAAGAGAATTAAGAAGGCTTAGAGAAATTTAAACCAAATGTAGTATTTATTTGCATTTTTATTTTTAGACTAGCATTATTTAGACTATTATTTTTAGACTAAGTATTTAGAAAATTACCATCAAGTATTTTAGTGACAATTATAATCAATAATGATTGCATTATCTTGCATTCATACACTTAAAATTATGTATTTAAATAAGCAAATTCAACATTCGATTATCTATGCATGAACAATTTCAATATAATCTTGCATTGATATACTTTAAAGTACTTATATAAAAAATAAAAAAAAAATAAAAAAACATTGGGCATTATCTCAATCGCGCAATGCGCGTGAAAAACTAGTAAATAAATAAGTGTTGTGGTCTGGTTTATGAGTACACATAAAATTCAAAACCCAAACATGCCTAGCGTAAAATGACGAGGTTTTTTGGGGAAGTTCTCTTTGGAAAAAGAGTAAAAGACAAAAAAAAAATAAAAAATAATGAGTGAACTTTGGAAGTGACGAGTATTTGCATTTTAATTTTAATAAATGCCTCGATCCTTGTTTCCTTCATGTTTTGCATCTGCATTGTGATAGAATATTTCTGAATTTGACTTAGGTTGCATTTAGTGAAATTTTCATATTTATTCTATTGAGTTTTTGTATATCTCGTATAAGGGGTACTAGCACACAACACATATTTCTTTATTTTTATTTGAACAGCATGATATTATAATAAAAGTTCTAGTCTAGTGTTTTATACATTTTTTGAGTTGACGTTACTTGGCATTCATGAGGCAAATAAATTTTAAAGGTCATTTGGGTAAAGCTTGATCTAATACTTGCTTTTATTTCAATTTCTTTTCTTGTTAATTAATAATGCATTTGCTTGAGGACAACTGGACAAACAACTAAATAAGTGTGGAAAATTTTGATAAGTACAATTTTTGTAATGTTTAATTGAATAATTGTTATAATTTAATAATGTTTTTCTATTGAATATTTACGCTTTTATCTAATATTTATAAATAGTAATAATATCACATATAATAATTACTTATAATAAAATAATAATAATAAGGGAAAATGACACTTTTTACCCCTGAGTTATATTTTTTCAGTTCGGAACATGAACCGTCCGTTCCGGTTCACGATTTTAATAAACTCTAAATATCGAATTTCGATTCTAAATTGTAATTGGAATATTTCGGTTTGGTTGCTATAGTGTTTCTTTAGTTTGAACCAAATTATGGTCATAATTTGTTGGAAAAAAAATAAATTAAATATTTAATTTAAGGGTAAATATGTCCATTTAACATTTCAGGGGGAAAAACAGTCACTTCAATAATTTAGGGGGAAATAATGCTATACGTATATAATTCAGGGGAAAAAATTGTCATTTTCTCTAATAATAATAATAATAATAATAATAATAATAATAATAGTTTAGTCAATACGTAGTATTAACAAATTAATTTGGGTTCTAATTGATTAAGGCTTTAAAATGTGAGAATTAGTTTTGCAGTGCATGTTGATTGTTGAAGCCCATTTTACAGTAGAATTAGAGTTTTAATATGATTAGCGTATTACGAGGACTCCATCGCAATTGGATCACGGCAGGGGATTTATTAGCAGAAACTCCAAACAAAGCACTGAGAGGGCGTTGAATTGGTCTCGTTTCTGTTCCGCATCCGAAAGAAATTGTTGCTAATTTTGTGATGAGTCCGATCACTGAGCGCTGAAATCTGATGAGAAGTCTAAACCGTAAGCATTATAAATAGAGGACAGAAGGCATCAAGTCGATCATCAATTCCTCCTCACCACGCTTGTTCCGGAGAATTCCGGGCAACATTTTGGTTCGTCGGAGTGTAGATTTTGTTCTACGACAAGAAACTCTCCATCAAATTAATTTTGGTTCACTTGGTGGCAGCGGCTAAATTTCATAAAGTTCTTCCTGGTTTTTGTTCTTTCTCTTCAATTCGTAATTTGTTTTAATCTTTTATTCCTAAATTGTGAGCACACTACTGTATTAATTATTCATTCCCTTCTTTACTCTCTTTAATTATTCATTTGATCTTTTGATTAGTGTTGAGAGATGGAGCATTGTGATTTAATTATTATTGCAAATTTCATAATTATGCACTGCTAGTTTTCTCTGGGAACATGAACAATAATACACTATGAAAGTTTTGCAGTAGTTATATTTTTAATGTTGTCAATTCAATTCTGTTTTATCTTACGCTTTAAACTGTGATTTGCATTTAAGTTATCTTAATATTTGATATTTGTTTTTAGTATTTTAAATTGTCAAACTCGTTATTTTAATTTGATATTTCCTTGTTGCTATATCATTTCGTTGTTATTTTATTATTATCTTTCCTATCTTGTTTTCTACTGCAATTTCGTTCAGTTAAGTCAATTCTGAGTATTGTTTGTTTCTGAACTTTAAATTAGTAATTATTTTCTATTTTACAAATTGCTTTGTTACATTTTCCAGAGCTTCATTGTTCTGGTTGGCTGCTGATTTATTTGCGATATTTCTTTCCTTGTTCTTTTAATTGCTCATTTATTTCTTGGTTTTCTACGTAGTATTTGGTTTAGTTATTTCAATTGATATTAAATTTTGAGTACTTTAAACATTTCATTTAATTATTTTTTAAGTTTAGTTGTTAAATTGCTTAGTATCAATTCCCTGTGGGTTCGACCCTTACTTTGCACACTATTGTTACAAATTGACTCATGCACTTGCGATAATATGTTGAAATTGTCCATCAATTTTTTTAGTTGTTGTAGTATAGTGGTGAGTATTCCCGCCTGTCACGCGGGTGACCCGGGTTCGATCCCCGACAACGGCACCAAAAATTGATGGACAATTTTAATATAGTCATCGCAAGTGCACGAATCAATTGTAGTGATAGTGTGCTTAAGCAAGGGTCGATCCCATAGAGAATTGGTACAATGCAATTTAACAACTAAACTAGAATAAAATTCCAAAGAAATTCAAATACAAAATAATTAAACCAAAACTCAAAGAAAAGCTAAGCTAATAAATTACCAGGAAGCCAGGAAGCAGATAAATTACCAGGTAGCAGCAAAATGAGATCAAGAAAGATTAACAATGGAAGATTGTACTAAAAACAATTAAGTGAAAATTAAAGTGAAAGAATGAAATTGTGAATAATTGATGCTAAACCTAAATTCTTTGGTAATCAAATGGTAGTAACTGAATATATTTTAACTCAAGAAAAGGAAAAGCAATACTTAAAAAGAATTAGTAACAAATGCTGCCACAACCATGATCCTAGAATGCTAGATTTATCATGCATATTTAAAGTTAGTCAACAAATGTAATAAAGCTTGGAATTTTAGCACTCTACTCAAGGCTCCACGCAGCAACACTTAAACAATTCATAAATTGAGGAAGTGACTCTGACAATTTAACAATGCAAATTAAATAATAAGGAAAAGAACCAGAGAGTATCTGCTAGGGAAATGAAGCCCTAGTCCGTAGAGACAATCTTAAAACTGCCCAGAAGGAATTACTCGCCTACGAAGCCGCTGCTAGAATTACTCACCGCTGCTGCCGGAAGACTTCTTCTTGTTGCGCCGAACGGAATCGCCGTTGCCACCGCCAAACACAAGAAACGGACTGCACCACCGCCGACCGGAAAAGCTCGGTACAACCGGAAAACCTCCGTGAATGGTTTCCGGGTGAAGAGATGTCGTCGAGATGGGGAGATTCGGCCTCCTTTTATACGGTTCAGCCCCCAACTACCGCTTCTCCTAACTCCCGCTGATCAACCGGATCGCCAAGACGACCGAGCCTCCTGCGAAAGTTCTGATTTTGATTTGTGGACTCCCATTTAAAAATAAATAAATAAATTCAGTTTCGATTCCTCTCAACAGCATTATTGTGGATATATAGTTATGAATTTGTGGATATTTAGTTCATTCATTGTGGATGTTTAGTTCATTCATTGTGAATATATTTAGTTCATTCGTTATGGATTTTGTGTTATTCATTGAGTGTAAATATATAGTTATGAACTTGTGAATATATAGTTATGAACTTGTGGATATATGATTTAAATTATGCACAAAAAAATGCTATTATCAAGAATCGAACCTGATTTTTTTTTTT